TACTCTCCTCTCCCGGACGCTGGTAGAAGCTGGTGCACGCAGGCGGACGCTGGATCGATACCTATACTTCCCTAACCCTCAAGTAGATGCTGGTAGACGCCGGCAGGTGGGCGTGTCCGAGGCTCACAAGGGAACCCCAACAGGTCTATCCGGCCATTTGCAGTGAGAGGTATAAATATGGACGTGTCTTGAGCCGCTGAATCCAGATCTGCCTTCCTATTTTGCGGAACGATTCTCCAAAGGGAGTTACGGACCATTTAATCTTAGCTCCGTTTGCTCAAGTTGAGAAGGATAACTGCATGCGGCAAGCCGCTGGTGGCCTACTGGATAACTGCATTGCTTCAGAGACACGAGGTCGATGTTGGAATCCTTGGCTATCGAAATCTTTTGCTTTTCATTCAAAACACTTGGTATGAGCCCTCCGAAATTTCTATTTGGCCATTTCGCCTAATTTCTTGATTAGTTGCCAACGAAAGGCGGGCGATTCCCCATGTAGGGTTCCTCTTGAAAACTTTTTTTATTATGAGGATAACCACATGTCACAAGGGTTTTTGCAATGAAATACCATCATATTCATGTTCAGCGGGTCAAACTACCCCTGGGGACAAATTTCTAGCCGAATCTGATATTTCCACCTAACTTGGAAAATGTGTGCTGTTTCATGGGTAATCGAAAGCATAGGGGAGCTCACCTACCATCAATGAATGGTCTTGAGATGGAACTCCCTCGTGGTAAAAGACGACATGCAAACGCAAAATACAGTAAGCGGGTAATGTCTTTGCGAAAGCACATAGAGGTATTATCAGTTGGAAAACAGTCATCAATCATCTGGTGTCGTAGTATCGGCATTTGGCTATCCAGCTCAGGCCACAGCTATTCATAACGCCATTTTCTGACGAAAATGAGTTAGAACGCTCGGGATATCCGCTGGCGGTTGTCTCTAGGGGTTATTCGACCCCCTGAACACGAATATGATACCTGTTTTGCGCGAAGAGCGCTGTGAGTTGCGCTACAGGTGCTAACGCTTTGGCGCTGGCGCGCCCGGAAGAAAAGCAATAGAAGAAACCTCACAACTCGTCAGAAATCAGTTCGGATTTTAGGGTGACGTCTCTAGGGGTTATTTGACCCCCTGAACACGAATATGATACCTGTTTTGCGCGAAGAGCGCTGTGAGTTGCGCTACAGGTGCTAACGCTTTGGCGCTGGCGCGCCCGGAAGAAGAAAAGCAATAAAGAAAAACCTCACAACTCCGCTCAGAGAATCGTTCCGCAAATTTTAAAGATAGTCTTGTGTTCATACGTGTTGGCCTTTCCTGGTCAGCTTGTGCAAACACAGCAAAGATTAAATGGTCCGTAACTCCCTTCAGAGAATCGTTCCGCAAAATCGGAGGGCAGATTCGGATTCAGCGGCTCAAGACACGTCCATACGTATACATCTCATTGTAAATGGCCGGATCGACCTGTTGGGGTTCCCTTGTCAGCAATATGTTACATTCCTACATCTACACTCTCCTTTCCTGGTCATTGATGGTCCCTGGCGGAAATTAGTAGACGCTAGTAGACGCTAGATCGATATTTATACTTTCCTGGTCGCTGACGCTGTCGGACGCTTGTTACGGTGCTGGTCGCTGGTGGACACTTTTGTAGGCTGCCGGAGTATGGATGCACCCGTACCAAGCGAAGTAGTTCCACAGTACTGCCTGAATTTGTGCTGGCGCGGATGCTTGGGAACTTATTCACTTTTTAAGCCTGAAAAAATAGACTCATCTCGATGAAATTCCTATATTCGATAAATTTATCTCTTCGAGTTTGCTTAGATTATTTAACTATCTTTATGGTTCGCCGCACTGTGTTTATTTTTCCAGATCTCCATCACCTGATCCGAATGCAATGCAAATCGATGATGATCTGAACAGTCCCGAGGACTCGTTGAGGATTGCTGATGACTGACATCTTTCGCGAACCTTTTAGACGATTTACTTCAATATCAACGGAAGAAATCGCAAACACATGCGAATCGCCGTGCTTTCATAAATGCGTTCTGAGAGATCCTCATTAGGATGATAGTTCTCATTTTTGTTTCTTCTTTTTTGGTCACTGACGGTCTCGTCTCTTTCATAATTGGAATTCTACCTTGTACGAAGGCATGCATGGCCTCATACCGTGTAAATGTCCGTACTAGCCTTTGGTTTGAAATCTGCACGTGTGCGATGGTGTTCGCGGCCTGCAGCACACTTCAGATTTATCTATGCTTCGCACGCATCTTGCTCTTCTAGTCCATTGTTGGCTATGCAGTTTCATATTTGGCAAGATTTTACTTCTACATTTTCATCTCAACACTGTTGTGCACTTTTTGCGGGTTACCAGTGTTCCTGGCTAATTGCTATTTTTTTAAATCACACTAGGAATTCGTTCATTATGATAACACAAAAAGTACCGCATTATCACCTTGGTAAAACTTGTAAAGTTGTTAATTTATTGTTCATGTAAATCATAAATGTGATTTTTCATCTCTCATAGATTCGATGCAAACAGCGCTGGGAATGTAACGGATATTTCGCAGTTTTTGTCTAGACATGCGCCGTGTCCTCGCAGACTTCCCGATGGAGCGCGTGTGCCACCTGCCGGGTTACAGGGCTGCTGTCAACCGGACATTCTCTTGCTGCGAGGGTCCAGACGTATTTTCTCATAGCATTGGTCGAGCATTTGAAGGCTGAAGGAAAAGGGAAGAAGGAAGAGAGAAGGAAAGGTGGAAACAAAGAGGGAGGAAGAAAAAAGTAGGAGGTAGAGATAGGTGTAATCTATTTAGCGTTGCTCGAAAAAGTCCTGCGAACACTGTTGATGTAAATTGTTCTAGAAAAAGACCAAGAAATCATTTTGGATGTTTTATCCCTGATTAGTGGAGAGTGTCCTCTGGGGTTTCTGCACATGGGTATATCATGACTTTGAGGAAGTTTTCAAAGCTTAAAAGTCCCCCAGAGATCGAGGTACTTTCCGACCTATCCCATATTATGAGCTTCCTCTAGGGGCCACTCCGCCGTAGTCGAGGAAGCTGACACCTACGTTGTCTTGAGGAAGGATATCGCTTGCCATGGCAGAGAGTTCCTTTTGCATCAGCGCTTCCAGGCTGGACTTATTCAACTCGGAAGTAGGCAATGTATAGGTCGGCCACCAGCACAGAATGACGCCCTTTACTCAAGCTTCTTGAGTGCGCAGCGAACGAACCACGAGTAATTGGCAACCCTAGCTCCACCTAACCTGACACTGCACTTGCTTTCTCCGCAGTCCTCGATTATCGGAAAAATTAATTTTATGAAGGATGCCTCATGAGTTGAACCCCTCTGACAAGTCATACCGAATGACCGTGACTGAGTTTTTTTCCTTGTACACACTGGAGGAACATTTGTGAGATCTTGTGGTTGGTAGAGAGTGGTGGATCCTTGCGTACATCTTGCACATGTCAGTTCGCAGGATCTCAAACAGAAAAGTAGATTGCACAGCCAAAAGCAGATGTGCATGGGATAAAGATTTCAGTAGGTTATTGGTGGGACTTCAAAGCGGTATCTCTGGATACTAGCATAACGGTAAGGACTACAGTCCACTCTAACCAACCTCAACAACCACCTGGATTCCACGTTCACGACTTTAATTCTTCAAAAATACTCAATTTTTCTCTACCGCTCGGCAATGCGAAGACCGCATGTTAGGATCAGGCCACACCAAAAGATCGTGGATCTTGATGTCGAGAATACGGCCATGGCTCGCAGCTTATTGATCAAAGTTACAGTCTCTAACTACTACACCATTTTTGATCCTTCAACCCATTCTTAAGAAGGCAAAAATTCCGAAAATCGACGTCTACTCAAAAATGAGGTCCACCTCTTCTTATCATAGTTGCCGTAGTTCTAGAAGAATGGAAATGAGAAGCTGTGCAAAAGAAGGGCATAGTTCTAGTCCTTAGTGGTGATTACCTCGTAGATTGGAGATGTTTTTTAGTGACTGAAAATTCGATGCCGAAAATTGGTCAAAGTGTCGGCAGACTTTTCTGCCACAACTAATATTTATAGCACGCTGAGCAGACAGTTCATGAGTCTACATATCTCATTCTATAATA